TCTTTTTCGGACCATTCTCTGTAAACCCTAGAGGTGGTTGTGTGTGAAAATCCCAGTAGATCAGCAGTTTCTGAAATAATCAGACCAGCCTGTCTGGCACCAACAACCATGCCACGTTTAAAGTCATTTAAATCAGAATTTCGGTTTGAACTGCAGCAAATCGTCTTGACCATGTCTACATGACTATTTGCATTGAGTTGCTGCCATGTGATTGGCTGATTAGAAATTTGCATTAACAAGCAGTTATACATGTATACCTAATAAAGTTACTGGTGAGGGTATACACATATGTAAAAATATTAAAGAGGTATTACAACCAACAATTTTAATTTACTAACTATTTATTCTCCCTCGTGTGGTTACAAATCTTTGTGTTTCTTTACTCTGTTGAAAAAAAAAAGAAGATAATTTGAAGAAAGCTGAAAACGTATCTCCATAGTAGGAAAATAAATACTATGGAAGTCAATGGTTACAGGTTTTCAACATTCTTCAAAATATCTTCTTAGAAAATAGAAAGTCAAACCGGTTTGGAACAAGTAATGGGTAAGTACATTTTTAGTTTTGGGTGAACTATCCCTTCAAACGTGCTTTCACAAACTGCCATTTGTCAAGAGAGAGTTGAGTTATACAGATGATGTACTGGAAGCTAAAAAATGACAAATGCAAAATTACAGAAAATCCAAACTGGAAGTAAAATGAAAAATTAGATCATACACTTAAGCAAAACAAGCAAGCAAGCCTGCAGTTCAATTTGTATCTTTTTTTTCCATATATACACACTTGATTCCTTGTGTTTTTAGTTTGTTAGGAGAATTAAAGTGCGTGCATGTGCTAGGTTGAATGGTTGAGTGAAATGGCTTGTTTTAGGCTATGATTACACCAGTGCGTTTTCATTTTAAAATTATGTTGTAGAATAGTCCATGCTGGTATTTTTACTACGATTCAAAATAAAAATCTCTACCTGCACTTTACAAATTAAAAGACATAATACACTATTCACATATTCACATATACTATTCACACACATTGGGCAAGTGATACATGAACATTACACATGACCATTCACACTCACTGGGTATTCACATTGCAGAGAGAAAACCATGATTTTTCCTTCACCAAACTTGACTGATTTCTGTGAGAATCTTGGGTCCATGTTGGGTTCCAGTAGGTCTTCTGCAGTATTTGTGATGATTGGGATGCAGTTCGAAAGATGATTCACCAGAAAAATCTACCTTCTGCCACTTTTCCAAATGATCACACAAAAGTCAAGCTATTATTTGTTGCTTTTACAACTGGGATCAACAACAAGATTTTTGTCAGGCAGTGTACATAGCTAAATTGAATAAACTAAATTGACTAGTTTATTAGTGTGTGTGAATGAAAGTGTATGGGTGTTTCCCAATACTGGGTTACAGCTGGAGGAGCATCAGCTGCTTAAAACACAGCTGGAATAGTTGGCGGTTCATTCCTGTGGCAACCAATAAAACTAAAAACTACGCAGAAGGAAAAGTAATGAATGAATTAATTTTCAAAATACTTCATTTTTGTGGGTCAAATATTATGGAGTAGTGTGGACACCAGGGGTAATCGAAAAAACTAAAACAAAACTGCATTAATGTAAACAGCACTTTAAATAAACTATAAACTAAAGCACGCCTAACTATAAATTGATTGTAGTTTTGAAGATATAAGCTTTTTGTTTTTTGTTTTTGTTTTGAAGCAGAACAGATGGATTTTCTGCAAAATATGGTGAGGCCTCAGCTCGGAGTAAAGTTCAGCACTGTCAAAACACTGTTAACACTGTCATGGGTTAAACCTTCTTCCTGTCCTCTTTCATTCCCTTTTCATCTCTTTTTCCTGGCCAGGACTTCACAGCTTTTAACCAAACATTCAGATGGGGGTGAGATGAATGAGAGAAGAGAACAGGAGCAGGGGGAGAGTAAAGTGGCACTTGGGTGCCAGGATGTAACTTGCGCATTTTCTTTGGCTCTCTGAGCTTTCTCTTTGACATTTGCGAACCCTCAACACATGATACGTCTTCTGTATTTAACCAGACACGTTGGTGGGAAATACATCATTTTATGTTTTGAAGAATGATGCTTCATGTTTGCACCAATATGTAATAAATGACAAAATCTTAAGATGTTCACATGGACTTGTTATTTCAGTGTTTCTGTGTGGCCAATTTTTTTTTTTTAACAGAAATAATGTCAAAATAATCTACGAAAAGAAAATTGTTCTGCCAGCATGTTTACTTGAGGTTTATCGAGAAGAGTTAAAAATGTAAAATGAAGTTTTATTTTATGAGGCTTTGAGCAATATGAATTAGCAAGCCTTGATATTATTTGATAGTGTTTGTTATTGAGTTATGCTGGAATTTTTAAGACTGTTTAAAACTTTTTAGTCTCTAAAAAGTCTCTTTTTAGCATTATAGCATGTAGCATGCTAATGTGTACAATTGTTAACTAAAGCTAGTACAATGTTGTAAATCCGTCTTGTGGCAAAAAAAAAAATAAAATAATATATATATATATATATATATATATATATATATATATATATATATATATGTGAAACTGAATTAATATATTATATCTTTGTCCCTGCTTAAGTTGATCTCATGACATTTTATTCCTAGTATAATATTCTCACAGTTCTTTGACTGAATCATGTCTTGTCAACATGTATAGTCTAAACATTAAAAATATTTCTTTAAATGATTTACATTATTCATTCATATATTTATATGAAATTGAGATGTTCTTTTTAAGCATACTCCACTTTGACAAATAAAAATGGTGAAATTATCAATTAATTTTTTACACAAATGATGAATAGTATTAAAATGGCTAATTTGCTAGTACAGATGAACACATTAAAGACTGAATAATGTATTCAAATTTATGAATAAACTGGATATTTATTAACCAGTAAAACTGTTATTTTGGGATTTCCGCCTGGATTTTGCCTACCCAAATTTAAAAGCTTCCCAAATCCTCATGCAGAGGTGTAAATGCAAAAATTTGGTACCATTTTAAAGAAAACCCTTTGAATTTTCATAAAACACTATTGAAAGTGTTTGACATAACTGTATATGTTGTCTGTGTTATTATAAACACCTAAAAAAAGAGGCACTTTTTGTATTTTTTTTTATAAACTCAAATTTGAAAGTGTACATTTTAGGTTCTGTGTGGTCTAGCTTGCTGTAACAAGTTTGGTGGTTCATGCACATGTCTGTAATCATAGGAAGAAAGAAAAATGTCTCTACCATAATCTATGCAAAAGTTATTGTATTCCAACTGATGAGAGGTGCTATACAGGCCACAGAGACCGATTATTGTTTTTATATTTCACTATTCTTTTGTTTGATCAAACATAATTCACTGTGTTTGGACCACGACAGACATATAAAAGGATTACTTATGCACATCACATGTGCGAACGGCCCTGAAGCGCACAAGCCATTATGACAGGCTGTTTTGATTTGTAATCTCAGGATATGATTTCTTGACATCAACAATTAAATTGTTGAAAACATCTATTTACTTGTTGAAATCAAAAATGTTGATTGTTTATATCAACAATGTTATTTCTGATATCAACAATTTAATGGGTAATTTCAACAACTGAATTGCTAAGAAAATTAATTGTTAATAACAGGATCACATTTTTTATATGAACAATGATGTCAAAATCTGCTATTTGAAATACAATTCTTGATATCACAAATACTGATTGCTGATATCAACTATTTAATTCTTGATATCAAGAATTCATATACTATTAAGCAATAGAAATCTAATAAATAAAAGTAATAATTATCAATTTAACATCAGGAAACTTATTGTTAATTTTGCGACCCGGCCTGGATAAGCCGATAAAAATGAGATGAGATGTAATAAATGTGATTGTTACATGAAAGGTGATCTCATAAATTAAATTAATTTCAGAAATGCATTTTCAGATATCAGAATTTTTAAACACATTTACAGAAGAATTTACATTTAAAGTAGTTTTAATTCAACTCTTGATATCAGTTATTTACATTTTCAAGTAGACATTTTCAATACTGATATCAAAACTAAAGTATATCTGGATATAACAGGAACACATAATAACTGTGTTTTATATCACCAATTAAATTAACATGTCAGCCTTTGGTGACATTAAACTAGTGAAAACACTGATATTAAGTATTAGAACTAGATAGTTAAAATTCTATTTCTGTCATTAGTAATGAAAGTTTAAGTGAATTTTAGTGAAACTGAATTATTGATAACATGAATTAACATTGTTATAGTGAAAATGCAATTCCTGATATCAATAACTTAATACAGTAATTTGTACAAAAATTTTTGATATGAGGATTATTTCATTTTGAGTAAAAAAAGTTAAAATGGCTTGCCTCAGGATACAGCGCAGGCTCCTTAATATCAAGGAATTGTTGATATCAATAATCAAGATACTTGATTTGTTCAAAAGATAGATGGCATCCTTAATAAAAAAAATAGATTAACATCGTTAGTGGAAATATAAAATGCTATTAATGATTGAATTGTTGATATCAATCAATCTTTTGCTTAGGTCCCTGATTTATTCAGGGGTTGCCACAGGGGAATGAATCAATTTTATGATATCAATAATTGAATTGTTGATATGAATATCCTGAGAATAAACGATATGAATTATCCTGAGAATGGATAGAAGTCATAACAGCTTACCATAAACCATACAGATTAATTAAACTTGATGCATTCTGTTCATAACACACGGTTTTTAAATTAATTTATTTTGAGTTTTGAACATTTCAGAAAGCATATTCTTACGGCCACATACCTCAAACTGTTGTCTTTACAGACTAAAAAATGTCATTAAGATAAACATACCTGTCCTGTCAATCATCGAACACGCCCACCCTCACCTCACAACCGGACTACAAAATAACGTCACCGAGCATAGTTCCGTGGCAACCAATCAGAGCGAAGGAATACATTCACACTGATTACAAACACGGAAATCGCTGAGGCGGACGTCAGCGTTGCATGAGTGTTGAATTCTAAAGGTTTTATTAATTAAATAGAATCCTTTTCACTTGCACAAGTGTTTGTGTAAAAGCCCAGCTCGCTTTACTCTTATTCAGTCTATGGATTTTCTGCAGCTGCTATCATGTGCGTGCATCATATTCACCGTCGGGATGTTCACGACGGGATTGTAAGTCACTTAATTTACGTTTGTTATACATTTTTATGATGATATATATTTATTGAGTGTCATTTGTCTGAACTAAACGCATATAGTTTTAATAATGTTAGATTCTTGGACACATCACGCTTTTCTTAAACAGTTTACGTTATATTTAGAAAGTGCATAAAATAATTAAACTAAGTTACTCGAATAAATAAAGTTCTCTGTAACTCTGTTGTTTCTCAAGTGACACATATGATTTTGTTTTAAAATTATGCCTTAAACCCTGCTTACAGCTATATATACCACGGTAATAAAAGTTTTTGCCAATATATTGATATTAGAGCGAACATTGTCATATGTTGGATATAAATTTTTGTGACATTATTAACAATATTTGCAGTTGGCTAATTATACTATTTTGCCTGGAGCCATACATTTGAACATCTCTAAATTGCTTATGCATGTAATTTAAGCATTTGTGTGAGGAAGCTGAAGCGAAGGAATTCCATTCTTTTAATAAATTTGCAGTGTATATCATGAATTATGATTATGTTTATCCATAACGTAGTTTGACAAGTTAAAGTGTCAGAATACCAATCTGAGAAGAAAATGTCATTTAATTTGGCTTTGCAGTTCTAAAATATTTATTTTAAAAGTTGATTCAGTATTAGAAATGAAATGATAATAAAAAAAAAGTAAAACCTAATTAAACAATTTAATGTATTATGATGAGCATAATTAATTGATATGGAACATGAGGTGTCAAAGCTTGTAGAGTTTTGCTCCAACCCTGATCAAACACATCTGAACCAGCTAATTATTAGATATAATAGAAACTTCTTGGCAGGTATGTTGAAACAGGTTGGAGATAAATTCAGTAGGTCACCGGCCCTCCAGGACCGAACTTTCTGATATATTATCAGGTTTAATTTTAAATAAAATCATTTGAAGTTATTTTATTTTGATAACTTGAGTGGGGCTGCACGGTGGCGCAGTGGGTAGCACGTTCGCCTCATAGCTGGTACGAGCCTCGGCTGGGTCAGTTGGCATTTCTGTGTAGAGTTAGCATTTTCTTCCTGTGTTTGCGTTGATTTCCTCCTGGTGCTCCTGTTTCCCCCACAAGTCCAAAGAAGTGGTATAGGTGAATTGGGTTAGCAAAATTTTCCATAGTGTATGTGTGTGACAGAGAGTGTATGGATGGGTTGCAGCTGTAAGGGCATCTGCTGCCTAAAACATATGCTGGATAAGTTGGTGGTTCATTCCCCTGTGGTAGCCCCAGATTAAACAAGGACTAAGCTGAAAAGAAAATTGATGAAGAAATGATTTTGAATGGGTTTTAACATTTTTATTTTTTTTTGCAGTGTCAGCATAACAATATCAAAAGTTTAATTATAAAACTCACCAACTTTCTTTGTATTCTTCATTTTATTTTCATATCCATAAGTATTAAATGTATTAGATATTCTTCTCATTGCCTTCTCTGTGTTTGCAGGACCGACTTGAAGAAAATGAAGGCCACACAGAGTGCAGATAACGTTCAGTTTCTGCCTTTTCTTACCACGTGCTTAAAGTATGTCTTTGGTATTTGACATCTGCAGCTCATGTTTGATAATCTCGTTTATGTACATGTAGGTATGGGCCAGTATAAGATTCTGACGCTATGATAACCTTGGATAAAAAATAATACAGTATCACGGTATTGTGATTACTGCTCTAAAATATATTGCTTTAAAATGTCTTGTTAAAAAACAACAGCTTTTTAACACTTAAATCTCCATATATTTTATTTTAAGAAAAAGAAAAAAAAACAACATGAAACAAAGTCTTTTGGTTTAGCAGGAAATCCTAGCGTTTTTAAAGCCTTGACATTTCAAAATCGTGGTATACCTTGAAAACAGTTGTCGTCTCATGCGTACATGTAACTTACTTCAGGTTGGCATGAACATTAATTTCAATGCATGAAAACTAAGTTCTGAATGATCTTTATTTATCTGTGTTCAGTAATCTTGGCTGGCTGTACTATGGATTACTAAAGGGAGATGGAACAGTGATTTTTGTGAACATCATTGGAGCCTTTTTACAAACCGTGTACATTGCCACCTACTGTCATTATACCAAAGAAAAGGTTTGTCTATGTCTTGAACTATTATTGATAATGCACAACACAACAGCATTTTTTTAGTAGAACATATTAATTATTACAAATTAGTAGGAAATGCTTAAAGTCATAATTATCATAAACGCAAATAGAGTATAAAGAAGTATTCCTATTTTAGTCCCATTATTGAAGAGCTAAGTGCAGAGTAAAGATCGTAATCAAACTATTACCTTCATGTAGGTCTTTTAGCCACATATTGCAACAGGACAAGACACTTGTAGCCGTGTGTGTGTGTGTGTGTGTCTTATAGTTATAGGAAGTTCGGATCATTTTATTGACTCGGATCTTTTAGTCTCGTTCACCGAGATGAACAAATCTTTTTTCAAGTCATTTAGTTCATTTGGTTCAATTTGCCAAAATATTATTAAAGGGCCATGAAACCCCCTCGTTTCAGCAGAGTGTTTTCACACCTCTACTTTGGAAAAAGTCAGAAAAGTGGGCGTGTCCAGCTCTGTTTAGGGGGGAGTGTCGGAGGAACTGAAGTGGGAGGGTGTGGGAGTGTCTATTTGGGCACGCGCGAGTTTCAGTCAAAATACTCACACACAGGAGAAAGTGATGGTGTTTAATTAATTATGTGGAATTATTTGCCAAATTATTAAATGGTGGACTTTAACTGCAGTTTGGCTCTTTCATTCAGGGAATTCATTCATGCCCCTCGCGACAAACAAGATATTTGATTCGAGGATCTGCTCTAAGCGTGTATCAGAAACCCGCGTGTGTTATTCTGGTCACAAAATGCGGTTAAAAACCCTACACGAGGTTAAAGTTTGGTTGTGGTCCTAACATGTTATGGTGCAATAGTTAACTTAGTTCGATACGAACAAACTGAATAAACAAAGAGCACTAGTCGCTCACTTACCAAATCTGTAGAGACGGGACAATCCACAGCAACTAGAGCCGCGTCTTTATGAAGAGAATACTACAAGCGAATCCGATCTCAGCGTTTGCAGATGAGAACAGCTCTCAGGTAAACAATAATCCTCCTTAGACACGCAAGTTATTGTTGTCGAGCGTCGTGTACACTGTAATCCACACGTGAGTCTGAGCTCTCACAGAGAGAAAAAGAAAACGAAACTTAACGGCAGCAAACTATAAAAGCAACACTTTACGCTTGTTTTGCCAACACAACGTGGCGTCTATGTCGTGTAAACACAGTAATGAATATTAATGAAGTTGCACAATAGAGCGCGCTGATTGGTTTGAACCAAGCCTTACTCATGCATTAATGCAACACATTGTAAGACGTAATAAGACACACTCTGGTACAGACGCCCAGTCTGCACGCTGGAAAACAGGCTATTATGTCATGACCGTGACGCAGCTTCAAAAATTCGTTTCAAACAGGAAGTACGAATTTGCTTGAAATAACGCAAAAACAACCAATTTACACTTTTTAGTGAAATATAGGTGTCTTAATAGTGTTTTTAGCAGTGTGGGACACATATACCACTGTCAACAGCTCAAAAAATGTGTTTTGGTGTTTCGTGACCCTTTAAAATGTTACGAATTGCTTCCAAACACATCTACAACTAGCCCAAAAGGTTGATCACACAACAAATAAGTCATATATAGAATACTATAAGTAGGAGAAAATAATAATTCAATCTTTACCTGCTCTTTTGTCTATGTAGGTATTTTTGTCTCTGCTCAGCCCACCTCTTCATGTCTTCAAATGTCTTTGGTTCGTTCACGTTGAACTGACAGTCACATATAATCTTAACCAATGTACAGTCTGAGCCGATAGGAGTCATGATAATTAGTTCACCTTTCGAGTCTTCTGGTTCTTTCTTGAAAGAACCAGGACTCAAGAGGTGAACGGATCAATACTTTTTCCGGCTCTAAACGCATATGATTGGCCTGTAATGAACTAATAACTCAAACCCGATAGAGGACTCAAAGGATGAATGGATCAATTCTTTCTCCGGCTCATAACGTAAATGATTTTCTTCTGTTTTTCCACCATGAACGATGTAAAAGACTTGAAATGAACGATACCACCTGCAAAAATGTGTGCACGTGCAGTTGAACTCCCTGAGAGGACTTGTAGTTCCAGAGTCATATTGAAGATTCGTTCAAGAACGATCCATCACTAGTGTCTTGTCCTGTTGCAATATGTGGCTAAAAGACCTACACGAAGGTAATAGTTTGATTACGATCTTTACTCTGCACTTAGCTCTTCAATAATGGGACTAAAATAGGAACACTTCTTTATACTCTATTTGTGTTTATGATAATTATGACTTTAAGCATTTCTGAAGTGCTATTCAATTGTTTGGATATGAAGCATAGTTATTGTGTGTGGCTGCAGTTGTAGCCTCTGTTTGACGCGGTAGCCAGTAAATTCCAGTAAAAAACAAAACAAAAGCAGTAACGTCACACTGGCCCGATTTACACGCACAACTCCCGAGCCCAGCTTGTGTTGCCAGGTGTGTGCAAAGCACTTAATTTGCAAATAAAATTAAATCCTGCCTCCAATATTTAGTGCTAAATTCACCCTCATGTTCCATCATAACGTCACAACTCACGAGACAACTTTTCACCGCGATGAGAAATCTTGTGATGATTTAATCTCCTGAGATCTCATCATACAATATCTTGTCACATCCCTACAAATTAGTAGTAATCAAGAATAGTTTGAATGTTATTTTTTTTGTTACAAATTAAATGGTCAGCTTAACAGTTAATATTGTATTTCAAAGTTAATATAGCATAAGCATTTAATAAAATGATTTATTGAAAAGGTAATTTAGAAATGTAATTTAAAAGGTTATATTATCGGATTTCTGATCTAAGAGAAAAGTTAATAAAATGGTATTAATGTCAAGTTTTATTGTTGGCATAACTCACAGTTCGAGTGAAAAGTTTAATTCAATTTTATTAACACATTTAAATTAAAAGTAAATGTAATTTTATATAGGGGCCTTATGGTGGCGCAGTGGGTAGCTTGATTGCCTCACAGCAAGAAGGTCGCTGGTTCAAACCTCGGCGGGTCAGTGGGCATTTTCTGTGTGGAGTTTGTATGTTCTCCCCGTGTTCCTGTGGGTTTCCTCCGGGTGCTTCAGTTTCCCCCACAAGTCCAAAGAAGTGGTTTAGGTGAATTGGGTAAGCTAAATTGTCCTGTGTGTGTGTGTGTGTGTGTGTGTGTGTGTGTGTGTGTATGTGTGTGTGTGTGTGTGTGTGTGTGTGTGTGTGTGTGTGTGTGTTTCTCAGTGATGGGTTTGCGCTGGAAGTAAAACATAAGCTGGATAAGTTGGTGGTTCATTCCGCAATTCCAGATTAATAAAAGGACTAAGCAAATGAATGAATTGATTCTATATAGATGATATTAATTTAGTTCTATGTAATATGAATGTGAGTAGTATGAATAGAACTTGGAGGTACTACATCCGCAATTTGTCATTATCACCTGACCTACGTGTGTCAGTTGCATCACTTCAATCCCATTCATGAGTTCTCTTGTGTGGCATCATGGGATAGCGTAGTGTCCATCAGATACAAACTTAAGTATCTCGCCGGAAGTAGTAGGTCATCTGGGTACTTCAAGCATACTGTTTTTCGAATTAGGACATACTACTCGAATCGTAAACTGTTTTTAAATTACTATATTATATGGAAGTATGTGATTTCGGACGCAGCATGAGAGATAAGTGTCGTTTATGAAAAATAAAATATTTTTCAGTTCCGTTTTTCAGTTACATTATGAACATGAAATTTTATGAGGAAATTATTACATTTAATTAAGTACAACATATATTATGTAAACACAGCATATATAATCAGAGTACCAATCCAAGTAAAAAGTGCAATTTAAATTTATTTAAACATTTAAAATATAGATGTGTATATTTTATCGCCATAACAAGTCAATAGGCTATTTTAATTAGAAAAAAAGCTTTATTCACTTTAAAGGGGTGGTCCACTATAATATAATATTATAAACTTTAGTCGATGTGTAATGTAGCTGTTTGAACATAAAAAACATCCCTGAATGTAATACGCTCAAAGTTCAATGTAAAGGGAGACATTGGCTTTTACAAAGTTAGCTTAGCAAAGCCTACAGCAGACGAAGTTTAGGGACTACAAAGGCAATGTAGATTAATGATGTCATAAACCCTTCAGGTTACACGCATACATCCTGCACAGTGAATGGATGTGGCCAGAGGCGCTGTAATGTTATAACAGAGACTTGGTGATGTGGAGATGATCTGCGAATCACAGAACATTGTTAGCTAACCAATCAGAGCTACTTGAAGATAGGTCTTCAGAGGAACTAAGAAATATGTCTTTTTCATGTTAGCTGAGTAGCTGTATATAACCAAAGTAGGATATATGAAAAACTAACGTGGTTTTCTACAAATAAAGCATGAGCACACATTGCTTTGCACCCCATAAACACAACCAAGCCTTAAAAATACATGCTGGACCACCCCTTTAACAGTTTGACATATTTGATCATAAAATACTCTTAATAATTTCTTAGTATATCTAGTTTTAATCTCTAGTTTAAAGTAGAATTTGAGTCCTAGGTTTGACTCTTTTACATGACCCCACTGTATACATAACAAATGGGAAGGCTCAGATTCAAGAAATAATGTATTCAGCCCAGATGTGTAAAATAAATCTGATCATGTTACTAAAGCACAGACAAAGCAGCTGCTGATCCATAACAATGCCCTGTGTGTGTCTATGTGTGTGTGTTTCAGAGGCGAGTATATACTCAGACCCTCCTGATGGTGAGTGTGTTGTGTGTGGCCTGGGTTTACTTCTCGCTGGTGATTTCTCCCGGTGAAGCTCAACTCTCTCAGCTGGGCCTGACGTGCAGTGTGTTCACCATCAGCATGTACCTCTCTCCACTCGCTGACCTCGTGAGTTCACTCCTATACACACACACACACAACCAACATTAATTATGTGCTGCATTCCAATTTGCCTACTAGAACCACATCCTAAACATATGTGCTTGTTTTGTGAAGAAAAAGTACATGTTTTTGAGTATGTTAGCTTTGAGACATGCTACTTCCACATTTACAGACTGTTATGTTGCTTGGTTATATGCCTTGTCAATCTTGTCACATCATCCATGTTACATTCATATTTAATTTCCTACCATATTGAAGAAGCAGCAGCAGGTTAATCTGCCATCCATGAGTCTTTCAAGCTGGAGAAATCTTTTCAGGTTTTTGCATAATTGTGCATTCGGAAGTTTATAAAAGTTCACAGGTGAAATCCAACATAAAATACGTGAAATAAATATATCCCAAAAGGTTAGATTATAGTTAAGGTGCATTGAAATATCTTAACCAAAGCCTCTCCACTTAACGCAAGTCTTGCTCACCCACCATATTTGTAGTTTGTTGACACTTTTTAATCGTGTTTGTAGTTTTCATTGAATTTGAATCCATTGTGCAGTGTAGTATGGGTAATATTAGCCTTTAGAACATGGGTCTCAATTCTCAACTCAAATCCTGGATGGCTGCAGCTCTGCACAGTTTTGCTCACCCTAATCAAACACAGCTGATCCAACTTAAGCAGGTGTGATTTGGAGGTGGTTGGAGCTAAAATCTGCAGAGCTGTGTCCCTTCAGGAATAGAGTTTGAGACCACTGCTTTAAAGCATGCATGGATCTGCACTACAAATTTCCACCTCAAATAGTATACGGCTTGGGTAATTTTAGAACAATCATTTCAACATGCTATGTTTGGGGACATACTAATTCTATGACTATTTTTAAATACTATTTTGGATGGAAATAATGTAAATCGGGACACAGCACTGCTTAAAGGGATAGTTCACCCTAAAATTTACTCTTTATTTTACTCCCCTTCAAGTGGTTTCAAACCTTTTAAGAGTTTCTTCTGTCGAACACAAACTACAAACATGGTGAATGAGCAAGACTTGCGTTAAGTGGAGAGGCTTTTAGCTTATTTTTATGCACTTAGATAAAATTTCGCTGAATTTTCTTCCGATCCTGATGACGTCATCCCGGATGACGTGGTATGCTTTGAAAGATGACGATCTCATGAGTCCAGAAAAACAAGCCATGCCCACTATTGTGTTATTAAATATTGCCATTTCTCTAGGAACTGCATCACAATACGAAACCAATAAATAATTAAAAATTACGGTCGCAGCTTCCAGTTCATGGGGACTTTAAGATTTAGAATTTCATCACACTTTATTCTCCTTCCTTAACCTGTCATATTGAAAATAAATGCATGAACATTTTCTTTCGCATTTAATTTGTAAAAACTTTACTTTAAGGTATCCATATTGCATATTGTAAGCTGTACATACTATAGTTATTGCAAATATTTATGCATAATTACATGTAACCTTACCAAACAGTAAGTTCATCTAATTAATACATTTTTCTCTGTAGTTTCATGAATGGTTACACTGTAACAAGGACACTTTTAAACTGTGCGAGTGTATTATAATTGTAGGTCATTACACCAGTTTCTGAGGAAGAGGTGATTTTGTTTTATAAAATACATGGGATGGTAAAAGTGCTAATATTTATGTGATGTTCCAGTTTATTAAGTTAAATTTGAAGGTTTAGATAGAAACATAGCTAATGACTCTGAATCTCACACAATAGAACATTTGCCTGTTTAACTGTAAGCACTGATGTGCTATTTAAAATTGCTTATGTAGATGGCACTTTTAAAAGAACACATTTGCTGTATAGAATGCTGTGCAATAGACAAAATACCATTAATAAAACGTGTAATGAAATAACTTAAAATATTATAAAATAATAGGGATGAATATGAAAATGCCAACAGTAAAATTAAAAATCATATAAACGCTAATCAAAATGTATTTGGTTTCACTTTTTTTAAAGGGTGCTTGTTACAGTGTTACCATTTTTAACTACTGAGTAATATTAATTAATTACATGTTCTTTTCTATATGGTTAGGGCTACAATTTGGGTTAGGTTTAGTTTTAGTTGCATGTAGTTGATTGTAATTGCTGTAGTGAAAAAAATGAATAAATGAACGAGCATATATCCTCTGATCCTTTCCAAAGTAAAATCCTGACGTAAAATCTTATAGTGACATTCCAACATTCCATCTTTTGTTTACCACTTGCTTCATCCTTCGTTTCTGTGCCCTCTCGCTATCTCCATCTTCCTGTTTTTCATCTCTCCTTCTTCCATATTTATCAGTCCAGCTCCGTCTATCTGTCCTGCGCCCTGTGGTGTATTTCCTGCCATTCTCATACCTCCTTTTGTTTCTTCCTGTTTTTCCCCTCCATCACTCTCTGCAAGTGTCAATACCTACTTGTTATAGGAGAATCAGGGCTTAAAGGTCCTGTGAAGTTAAAATAAAGTTTTTTTTAGATGTTAGTTCCAATATGTTAGTAGTTTGTTAGGTATTTTGCTACAAGATTCACATTTAAAAGATATTAAGCTGATATGAACATCCAAATATTGCTCTGTCACTTCTGCCTAAATGATTCAATGCTTTTTTTTTCTTGTCATCTCATACTTCGGTTTCTCAGCAAATCTTGACCAATCAAATGCTCTCTAGTATCTGACATGCTCCGCCTTCTTCAAGACGCTTCTCATTTGCTTTTAATTCTATGCACTTGAGCTCGACCACTCTCACTGGCAGAGCTGTGATAAAAATTAAAAGCTATTGGCTGTTTTCAAAAGAGGGAGGAGCTACTCTATATACCATGTTTCAGTTGAGATTACGTCAAACATCAAATTAAAAAAAATGCAATTTAAGTGTAAATAACGAGGGTTAACTCGTTGGGTGCTGAATTAGATGGTGCGGGTTTGAGCCGTGCTTGGATCTAAAAAAAAAAAAAAAAGTAGCAAAATCACATTTCTCCTCAAATATTTCTGCATTCTTTATTTTCATCAGTTGGACATCATGCGGACCAAGTCTGTAGAGCGCTTGTCTTTTTCCTTGACCGTTGCTACATTTTTTACCTCTACATCATGGACTCTGTATGGCCTTCAGCTGGGGGACTATTATATCATGGTAAGATGATGAAGAGACTGTTCTCAGAGTGTAGTTTGAGATTATTATGGAAGTTTCATGTTTTTTTTTTGTTTTTTTTTTTCTTGATGTTTTGGTTCTCAGGTGCCCAACACCCCTGGCATCTTTACGAGCCTCATTCGCTTCTTCCTCTTCTGGTGGTTCGGAGCAGTCATTCCCCAAATCCCATCCTATAAACTCATCCAGATCTGAAGAGGATTTGGATTGAATCTGAATAAGTGCCTTCTCCACTTTCCTTTACCCAAGCCACAAGAGCTTTTGGTTTTCTTGAAATGCTATCTGAGCTCAAACCTCTAGTGAAACTGGCACTTTAAATGCTCAATTTTCACAGTTACTTTAGTCAAGTGGGTAGCACAAAAATCTTATTCTGTCACCATTTACTCATCCTCATGTTTTTCCCAATTCTGAATGAGTTGGTTCTTCTACCTGTACCATGGAAGTCTGGCTACAAGCATTCTATAAAATATATTATTTTGTGTTGAATAGGAAAACGAAGTCAGGTTTGGATAAATAATGCTAATGATAAGAACATTCATTTCAAAATTTGGAATTCATCTATGCTCATTCCAAACCTTTATGCTTTTCTGTCTATTCACGAAAAATTATGAAGTCTTTTTTTATTGTTTTTTTTTTCTTCCTTCAGTTACAGAGAACTGAGGTTTTTCTGTGTTTAAAAAAAAGACACAAAAGCACGGTCATATTGAAGGGGCCATTAATAACTCTTTATCTGAAACTGAAACCTGTTCTTTAAGAGTGATATTTTTAATCGCCCTGTTGATTTTGTTCTGAAGATTTTTTGATCTTACGCCTTACAAAACTTTTTTTTTTTCAATCTACTCTACCAATTCTTTGTTACTGGATGGGGAAAATCCTCTGAGTTTCCTTTTGTCTGTTTCCTGTTAGTCATACGGGTTTGGAGCCACATGCGGATGAGTAAACAATAGTTGTGTACTAATTTCTGGTGAATTTCAGTGGTGACAGACAATTGTTCATTTTTTTAAACCTTGTTATGATGGAGATGCTCTCAGTTTGTTTGTCAGGTATTTCTGAGTTAATAAGTGTCAAAGTCTGCAAATATGACACACCCCAAACCGAGAGCTCAAACCTGTTTCCTGTTACAGTCTTTTCTTTTGAAATGACGTTTTGTTATTACAGAGATGTCTACCTTTTCTTTTTCTTTTTTTTTATAATTGGGTAAATACTTTAAGTGGCCTTTAGGAAAGTGTAACGTTCTTGAATGTACTGTTTCAGATCCCTCATTAATCATACTGTTGGCTAATTTATTACAATATCATCCTTAATTGTCTCTGAATATCTCAGTTTGGCAGCTATTTAATCAGCGATAAACTCCCAAATGATGCTTTACATGAGTAAAACACATGACTTTCATATCCTTATGGAACTTTACCATGGTTTTACTATAGATAAAACAAACAAACAGGTTTTTATATGGTAACCACAAATTAACCATGCTTTTGCTTACACTAACCACATTTTACCCATAAGCTTTGTAGTAAAACTGTGTGGTAATTCCAATGGTAATTACTATATCCAAAACTACATTTGATAAAATGTGTGTGTGTGTGTGTGCGTGTGTGTGCGCGTGCGTGCGTGTTTGATAAGGCATCATCAGAATATGGTTTTCATGATGTGCTTTAGCCATTAATGTGGGTTTGTGCATAGTTTGGTTATTTATGGGACTACTTGTTGTAATCGTATTTTGTTAGTATCCTGTGTGATCAGAACAGACCTAGACATCTAGTCTCAGTTATGTTCATCTCAATGTCACCAGGAAACGTAACTATTTTACGTAAATTGTCAAAAAAATATATCTATATATGATTTTAAATATGAAAACATAATTTTAAAAGGGGGTGTACCCTTGAAACCATGTGGGGATGAGCAAATCATGCTAAAATGTATTTTGCTAAATGAGATTATACAAATTAGGTACTAAATCAACAAGTTATTAATTTTTGTGAGATTTTGTTGTTATGTCTCTATGAACAGATATGGTTTCAATCACTTACAGATACACCAATATTAGCCAAGGTTTAGATGCAATCACTGTACTTCACTAGGTCAGGTTCAGGATCTATCCAGTTCTAACGGCTTATTTTGCAGCTCTTTAATGAAGTATAAAATCTTTAATTCATTAATTTGACTAATAAATTTGTGCAAACAAAGCTTTAGGGACTGCCCAAAGTTTAAACCATATCAGTCAGCTATGAGGGGAGTCATTACATTGCACACTTTTATTTGTATTAAGAAAATTGGACAAGAAAAGAAATGTTCAAGACTGCGAAGCGTTGCAAATGATGCAAATTTTAAAGAAATGTTTAGAACTGTCAAGTTTATTGTTATAAATATGCACGTAAAAATGCCATTTGCGATGCTTCATGGTAGTGGCTGGGCTGAATATATCTTGGTGCTCTTTGCAACTCTGATTGGTGGAATTTTCTTTAAAGTATATAGTGTAGTTTATGAAATCTGCTATCAGTTACAGTTGCTTTAAAAGATAAATTGTGTAGTTCGTTCCTTTATTTTCCATTTCTTCATATAGTCTTTCTAATGCTGTGATTTTCCTTGTAGCAGTTTGGTTTGGTTTTCATTTTTATGGGTGAACTATACCGTTACTAATATCTTTGTGATATTTCGCACACATCTGTTTACAATTGTTGGAACAAAATGGTCTTTTTATGATTATTGTAACTTTCAGAAATCATACGCTGCCTGAAAAAGTCTTGTAACGTATCCAAGTTTTAGGAACAAAAAATAATAACTTGACTTCTAGTTTATCGTTTGGTATCAGAAGTGGCTATAACTGTATAGATTTGGCCTAGTTTTGTAGTCATTTTGTCACAATTCTATAAAACTGTCCAAAGTGTGTCATAGTCATATGCTGGAGAATTTATGGTAGGCATCATTCCAGCTACTGCTTTTGGGTGATCTGATTGTGACATAAGGTGGTTGAAGCCTCTCCAAGATGGAACAGTAGTATCTGACTTTTTTGTTTGTAGATAAATAGAAAAAAGTGATTCTATTCTTTGAAATTCTGTGAAAACATCTGCTATGAAAACACCTTCACTTTATTAATTTTTTCAGGGCTTATGCTAAAGCTTTCTAGAAAAAAGCAGCGCCCCCTGTGGGGCATTACTCCTTTGGTATACTGATTTTTAATTTTTTAAATCTACATTATATAATTATTATTAAATATACATAAATATACATTAGTGGAATTTATTGCAAATCATTTCAAAATTATACAAATCTGATTTTACCACGTTTAAGAATAGTCATGAACTGGACAAAAATAACTTTCTAACAACCTGTCTAGAATACATTTAAAGGGGTCAAATAAAAACACTGTATAGGTTGTCAACTTGTACCCTGAGGTGTCCACATAAGTTACTACAGGGGTGTCAAACTCAATTCCTGGAGGGCCGAAGCCCTGCACAGTTTAGTTCCAACCCTGCTCCAACACACTTACCTGTAGGTTTCAAACAAGCCTGAAGGACTCAATTAGTTTGATCAGGAATGTTTAATTAGGGTTGGAACTAAACTGTGCAGAGCTGCGGCCCTTTTGGAACTGAGTTTAAAACCTGTTAGTTACAATATCAGTTTTGGCCCCCTGACTAATATGAAAGGCAATGGCTTCTAGACAGTAAGGTCTGACTTTGCTGACACAAAAGTATTGTCACGTAACAAAAATAATGTACAGTACAGAATATAAAGTCATGGTGCAGTAGAAATTATGTAATATCGTGTATGACCCATTAGCTTGGACAACTGTATCAATGCATCTAAAGTCATCTGGAATGGCAAAGAAAGCATTCTTCCAGGACTCCCAGAGGAGTCTTCCATCATCTTTCCCCACACATGCTTAATATTGTTCATTTCTGGTGACTGGGCTGGACAACCCTGGAGCACATTGACCTTCTTTGCTTTTAGGAACTTTGATGTGGAGGCTGAAGTATGAGATGCAGCGCTATCCTGCTAAAAGAATGTCCCTTTTCTGTGGTTTGCAATTTAATAGCACAAATGTCTAGATACCTCAGGCTGTTGATATTGCCATGCACTCTGCAGATCTCTCGCACACCCCCATACTGAATGTAACCTGAAACCATGATTTTTCCTTTACCAAATTTGACTGATTTCTCTGAGAATCTTGGGTCCATGCGGGTTCCAGTAGGTCTTCTGTAGTATTTGTTATGATTGAGATGATTCATCTGAAAATCTTTTCTAAATGATCGACTAGAAGTCAAGTTATTATTTGTTGCTCTTACAGCTGGGATTGACGACAAGACTTTAGTCAGGTAGTGTACTTGGAAAACATCTTAAATGAAAAAGAACTTCATAAACTCTACTTTCCTCATAGAATGTCATAGTCCAAATCAGGAGTGTCTAAACTCGGTCCTGAAGGGCCGATGTCCTGCATAGTTTAGCTCCAACTTCCTTCAACACTAGCCTGGAAGTTTTAGTATATCTAGAAAGAGCTTGATTGGCTGGGTTAGGTGTGTTTAATTGGGGTTGGAACTAAAATATGCAGGACACCGTCCCTACAGGATCAAGTTTGGGAACCCCTGATCTAAACAAAATCAGACATCTTTATTCACTGTAGTCGAGCTGGCTGGCGGGATATGAGGAGAAGAAATGCACATCATAACCGGAGATGTCAAGATAAAAATCATAAGCAGTCATTTGCTGTTCTTGTTGTGAAGCTAAACCGCTTTAATCTGTAAAATTGCAAATCGATTTTTGGGCTTTACAATATTAGGTACTTTATTCACTTTAAGTCTTCAAGACTGGGTGTTGTGGATTAAAAAAATGGTTTTAATGTATAAACTTTATTGTAAATCTACTTTGATTTATTAAGAAATGTTTATGGCTTCTGTGTTGTAAAATTGTGATTTTTATATTAGGTCTAAATGTGTTTATTATATATATATACAAGTGTATTTTCTATGCAACAGTGTATATTACATCTGAGGGGATTTAAACGGATGATCTTCTTTCCTGGAAAAGAAGGCTGAAATAAAATTTTATGTAAGATATACACTTCGATGTCTGGCCGAGACTGAGGGAAAAACTTATGAGGGCTTAGCAGGGGAATGTGAGAGGATTTTGTTCTGGTCTCAAAGAGGATCAGCGCTGATTGTGAGCAATGAAAACTCAAATGCGCTGAAAAGCCGAGGCGTAACGCATACTGACAGACGTTTTAATTTCTGTGGGAAGTAACAACACCTTTATCTCCCGCTATTAGGTGTTTGGTTTTGCAGAACTCTGTCAAACATTATGTGTGTGTGTGTTTGTTTACCGTTTGCTTGTTTGTGTTTAGTTTTCGTTAACGCGTGTGAGTGGGAACCGTGTGTTTGCTTTTTCTCATTGCCTATGGAGTCTTTACATGCTTTTCCTGTCTGCTTTTCAGAGAAAGACATGAAAGAGGAAAAGGGATTGTAGGCGGTGATTGTTTATCAGAGAGGCTTTCTGAGCGAACAAGAAAATTAGTGAGAGAAACAATGGTGATTATGGCTGCCGAGTCGTGGATGAAGACAAAAGCACTTTGTGGATGTTGTTTAGTCATGTTTGTCTAAATGCTTTAATCTGAAATGACACTGATCAACAAAAGGGTTCTCAGATCAGAGCTTCTTAGCTGGTGGATTGTGCACAAAAATGATAAAGTAACAAAGGCAGAAGGAAATTTTAATTTTATATTATAAATATAAAGTATTATTTTATATAGTATGTTGGACATTAAATAGAGTCGGAAATTTCATATTGTCTTTTAAGCATACATGCAAGTAAATGTTAATGTTTCAAGTAACTTTTATATAAGAAGTTACTTAAAACATTTCATTTAAATCTAAAAGTGAAATGTCAATATTGGGTGACAACATGTTTATTTGTCATTCAACTTAACAGATATTTTTATATGAACAAAAAAAGATGCAACACAGTTAGTCTGACTAGGCATGGACCAGAATAAGACTCTAATATGATAGCCTTGGATAAATATATCACTGTTTCACAGTATTGTGATTTCTGCTCTAAATATACAGTTGAAGAGTTATTAGTCCCCCTTTTAATTTATTATCATTTTTATACATTTTCCAAATGATGTTTAACAGAACATTTTTCACAGTATGTCTGAAAATATTTTTTCTTCTGGAGAAAGTCTTATATTTTTTATTTCAGCTAGAATAAAAGTAGTTATCAGTTTTTTTTTAAAAGCCATTTGAAGGACAAAATTATTAGGCCCTTTAGCTACAAATTTTTCAATAGTTTATAACAAACCATCGTTATACAATAACTTGCGTAAGTAACCTATCCTGCCTACTTAACCTAGTTAAGCTTAAAAATGA